ATAATGCAGCAGCATTTATTTTATTTTATTAATTGAAATACCACATTAGTGAAATAAGTAGCACTTGAGTCAACTAAGGTTTTATATATATATAAGGATTTATTCAAATTATTATATTAAATTTATTATAACTATGCAAAAGTTTTTGAACAATGAGTTTACCATAATAATCTTATCTAGGAGTGGAGAAAAAACAAGTTGGCACTTGGCCAATGTCATAAAATTCTTGACTTAGAAAAATTTTAGTACATTAAAGTTACTGTTTTGATATGATTATTGTGTTTTCAATGCTTTTTCTTTCTTTGAACATTAATATTTATTTATTAATATAAAATAAATATGATAGTTAAGGTTCTACATTGATAATATATTACTATGATATCAATTGAAAAGTGTTTGTTCCTATTCAAAAATTTAAATTTTTATTTTGAATGATGTTACGAGTTTTTCTGCATTTGAATATTAGTAAGGCAGTTGTAAGTATGAAACTTAAGCAATAAATTAATTTTATAAAAGTCTTTCAGACTGATTTGTTAACAAGTGTATAGGAAATACTAATATCAGAAAAATATACATGACAACTAATACTTTCATATAACCATAATATAATTGTTCATTATTGTTTGTTTAGAAAAAAATACTGTAGAACAATTTATTTCATTTCATCTATTTTTATTTATAAGGAGTTTCTAATGATATTTTTACCAAAGATACATTACATTTATCACCTGACATTTTTTTATTTTTATACATTCAGTTGAAAATGATAATAAAATATAATTGAATTGTATGTGTTTTCAAAGATATTTTTCCATGAATATTTTATTTTTTAACCAACAATATTTTATCTAAATAAATTTGTTGAGTAAATAAAAAGATGTAGTATATTTATCTGGTTATATTATATTCGCAATATTTTATTTTAAATATAATAATTTTCCATAATTTTATTTGCAAATGGAAGATATTTTATTAGAATGGAATGTTGTCATTCAATTAGATTATAAAATCAATAACAAATTAACAAAACTTTACATTGAGACTAGATTGAATATAATTTGTTGTGGCTTTCATATAATTTATCATTCAGATTTTATGTGAGTTTATTGTAATTTGTTTTAAAATTTATTTTTTCTGCTTAAATCTTAGTTTTCTTTTTGCAGTTTTTGAAACAGCATTAAAATTTCATAAATTTATTAAGATGGTTATTGCTGATTGACTATATGCTAAAATTTTCTCTTGATCACTTGAGGAAGCCATTTTTTGATTTGATATGGATCTTTGCAATTTGTTATAGGCAGTATAGGTTGCAGAGTTTTATTTCTCTCTTAATTATTTATATGTATTTACTTTGATTTATATTTATATGTATTTGCCTTGACCTCCACTAGGGATCAAACTTCCTGTAATGAGCAAAATTGAGACCAGCTGTAGAATTCATTGCATATTTGAGCAACTTACAAATCTTCAAACTAATTCATTAAGATGACAATAGAACTCTTATGTTACAATTTATTTATTAATATAAAATAAATATGATAGTTAAGGTTCTACATTGATAATATATTACTATGATATCAATTGAAAAGTGTTTGTTCCTATTCAAAAATTTAAATTTTTATTTTGAATGATGTTACGAGTTTTTCTGCATTTGAATATTAGTAAGGCAGTTGTAAGTATGAAACTTAAGCAATAAATTAATTTTATAAAAGTCTTTCAGACTGATTTGTTAACAAGTGTATAGGAAATACTAATATCAGAAAAATATACATGACAACTAATACTTTCATATAACCATAATATAATTGTTCATTATTGTTTGTTTAGAAAAAAATACTGTAGAACAATTTATTTCATTTCATCTATTTTTATTTATAAGGAGTTTCTAATGATATTTTTACCAAAGATACATTACATTTATCACCTGACATTTTTTTATTTTTATACATTCAGTTGAAAATGATAATAAAATATAATTGAATTGTATGTGTTTTCAAAGATATTTTTCCATGAATATTTTATTTTTTAACCAACANAATAATAATATCAAAACCATTTCTTGAAAAATTTTTAGCTTATATATATGAAAATAAAAACCTAAAAATTTACTTATTGTGATTCTCTTTTATAGTTTTAAAATTTTTAATGAAAATATTCAACTAATTCGATTTTATTCACTTATATAATTGCTATTAACTGCGCATTTTACATTAAGATATTCCTTAGGGAAAAAGAATAATACTAAGTACTTCTGTAATAAGGATTAAACACTAATACTCAATATGTTCTTTAACCAACTATTACAAATATTATAATAATTTTAAAAATATTTAAATAATAGAATTTAATAATAACAACGAAAGACACTAATAATTTTAGATTTTTAAGACTGTTTTTTGGTCGAACAAAATAATGCCAATAGTTAAAGCAGCATAAAAAAAAGACGGATTTTCTATTCTGTCAATGCTTTTGATTTACGTTTCCCCCTCCTTAATTCACCATCTTTGTTTCTTGGTAAACAAGCGAATAAGTTCCTGTCTGGATCATTCCAAAACTGCAACCGTGTCGGGTAT